TTGCCAAAGTGCTGTATCAAAGCACATTAATAGAAAGTTATGTGGAAGGGAAAAGTGTGGAAGAAAAAGGTGCACAAGCAGCAGGGATGACCGCAGTCTGGAGAGGATTGTCAGGAAAAGGCCATTCAAAAGTGTTGGGGACTTTCACAAGGAGTGGACTGAGGCTGGAGTCAGTGCATCAAGAGCCACCAAACACAGACGGATCCTGGACATGGACTTCAAATGTTGTATTCCTCTTGTCAAGCCACTCCTGAACAACAAACAATGTCAGAAGCGTCTTACCTGGGCTAAAGAAAAAGACCTGGTCTGTTGCTCAGTGGTCCAAAGTCCTCTTTTCTGATGAGAGCAACTTTTGCACCTCATTTGGAAACCAAGGACCCAGAGTATGGAGGAAGAATGGAGAGGCACACACTGCAAGATGCTTGAAGTTCACTGTGAAGTTTCCACAGTCTGTGTTGATTTGGGGAGCCATGTCATCTGCTGGTGTTGGTTCACTGTGCTTCATTAAGTCCAGGGTCAATGCAGCCATCTACCAAGAGATTTTGGAGCACTTCATGCTTCCTTCCGCGGACAAGCTTTATGGGGATGCTGACTTCATTTTCCAGCAGGACTTGGCACCTGCCCACACTGCCAAAAGCACCAAAACCTGGTTCAATGACTGTGGGATTACTGTGCTTGTTTGGCCAGCAAACTCGCCTGACCTGAACCCCATAGAGAATCTATGGGGCATTGCCAAGAGAAAGATGAACGACATGAGACCGAACAATGCAGAAGAGCTGAAGGCCACTATTGAAGCATCCTGGTCTTCCATAACACCTCAGCAGTGCCACAGGTCGATAGCTTTCATGCCACGCCGCATTGTGGCAGTAATTGCTGCAAAAGGGGCCCAAACCAAGTACTGAGTACATATGCATGCTTATACTTTTCAGAGGTCCGATAATGTTCTATGTACAATCCTTGTTTTATTGATTGCATGTAATATTCTCATTTTCTGAGATTGTGGATTTGGGGTTTTCATGAGCTGTAAACCATAATCTTCACAATTATGACAAATCACGGCCTGAACTATCTTGCTTTGCATGTAATGAGTGCTGGGGAGAAAGGAGCTGCACACAAATGTTTTTTTTTTTTTTACCTTGATGCAGAGAATGCAAAATGGTAAAAAAAAAAAAAAAAAAACTTTCAGATGACTGCTTCAGTGTATTTTGGAACAATCACTGTTAAATGTAGTTTTAATTTGTACTGATTTTTGTGTTTACTCCTCTCTGTTCAACAGAAGTCGGTCTAACAACCAGCTTCTGTTGAACGGGCATGCCAGGAAACCAGCAATCAGTGCTTGCAACCAATGGCTGCAGCTCTTACATATGCATTCTGATGGGGTGAAGCAACCTACTTGTTTAATGAAAAAAAAAAATGTGTGAGTATACCCTGCTTTAGTTTGAACAGCTTGTTTGGTGTTTGTGCCAATAAGACTGTGAATTTTTCTTTCCATGGTTAGCAAAAACAAATGCTTCAATGTTCTCAAACAACAGGCTGCTATATGCCCCTCTGGTTTAAGCCTTCTTAAAGTGTTACTAAACCCACAACAGTAAAGTCATCTGTATATCCAGTAAAGCATGCTTGTTATACTCACTGTGGCACCTAAGGGGTTAATCCTCTGCATTGTGTAAAAAGGCTGTTTTATTTTATCCTTTCTTCTCTGCCCCTCCTGTTGTTGAAATGACCACCAGATAAAATCCAAATCTGTAGTCACATGCAAATGCTCATTTTGGTGTGTATTGCTAGAGAGGTTTTTTTTTTTGGGAGAGTGCATGTGATCAGTACAGGGCCAATCAACACTGTCCAGACAGAGGGTCAGGACTTTCACATCCTCCTAGAGCAGAAAGAAAACTCCTCCTACAAGCTTTGAAGTCACAAGACTGCTCTAAGACTGCTCTAACTGATGAGAAAAGGTATTTAGCAGTTTATATTTACTAAAATAATTGCATTTCCATGTTCTGTGTACTGTGAAAGACCAGATATAGTGAATGCAGGGTCCTGGGTTTAGTAATACTTTAAACTCTCTATTTTTAGCATTGCAGGGTTTTTACAACACATTTTATGCACAACTTATAGTTCATCTTTCGGGATAACAGACTGCGGTGAATGTGAGTGATGCAATTTGAGGTGGTTTAGATGCATGCTGTTCTTGCACTTCCTTCTTCTTTTTCTTTGAAATGATGCAGCAGGGGGCTAGGAGCTAAAGGCAGCTGAAAGAAAGGAAGATCAAGTAAATCACAAAAATAATACTCACCCTTCCCAAAAAAAAAAAAAAGTTTGCTATGGACAGGACAGCAGGTAAAACTGACCACTGACCTCAAATCAACTTCAAAATACAATTAAAGCCAAAAATACCCCGATATATAGCACAAAAAAATGCAGAAAAAGAGTTGGTTACTCATATTGCTTGAAATTAAAGTACAGTTTCTCTAACTGATCCTAATCTCTCCCTTTGCAGTTTGTCAGCTGTACCTATTCTCTCCCTACCGTAGCTTCCAATACACTGACACCAATGCCTTGTACATACGAAAATGGGACAAAAAATACCGCTTTCATAGCGTTCGTCCAATAATCTGATCTTTAATACACAGCTTTCGAGAGCTGATCACAACAGTTCATGAAAAATTATCCGAAGGGACAAGCACGAAAATTTTTCTCATGATACCAGAATAAATGATTTTCATTTAATCAGTACATTATTTGTCCAAAAAAAAATTCAGCGACCAAGATCACACATGCTCCGAAATGAAAGAATACATTTTATCACTTCCAAACTTGTATTCTGTCATATGAGAATTTTCTCAACTTTAGTAACCACTTCATTTGCGCTTTGAGACTAACATGCAAAAAAAACAAACAAAAATGGACAATCATTCTCTATAGCTCTGTGCCTCCCTTTTAGAGTGAGAGGCTGGTTCTTTCAAAAGCCCCCTTATTGGCCCTTCTACACTTCCTGGACATAGACCACAGGCCATGTAGGGCCACATTCTCTTGGGCAAATCTGCACACAAAATGACCTGAACCAAGAATTCCAAAGCTACTGGATCTCTTGTGAACCTGAACCTCATCCCTGATTAACTATATACAAAAAGATAACTTAAATAAGATCTTAACTCCTTCTTTCTTTTCAATAGGTTTTTATTGTTTTTTTTTTATGTATTTCAACTACATAATACAAATTAAACCACTTTCAAAGACTTAACTCCTTCTTTCAGAACTATTATGAATTACTCACATTGTGCATAATGCCCCACTTTTTGGGATATTTTACTTGCTAGGAAGAGATTTTAGCATTTGCTGCCAGTCACCTGAATACGTTAGCACTACACAGGAAATTTGTAGTGGTTCATTTCTGCTACTAAATTCCCATAGCATTGCTTAAATAATGGAACAAATGGTTCCTTATGGCGTAAGCTTTCAAAAAGTTCCTCTAGCAAGTTCCTCTCCAGACTGCTTTAGCTGTTCTAGCAAGTATGAGTACCTGATAATTCATAGTTAAAATGGCAGAAACAGTATTCACATGAATACTGACTACTGCTTTTTAGAAAGTTACTGAGACTACCATACAGTATACATACATGGACACCTGTCTCATTTATTAGTATTAGAAAAAAAACTAGGACACTGAGATACCTGTTTATGTATATGCTATTACCATTGCTACAATCATGATGCATATGCAGGGGATACATTTTTGATAAGATCTTTTCTGTCCTTTTCTTACCATTGGCTTTAATAGTAATATGCAGTTTATCCAAAAGAAAAATAAGTCAGTGGACGTTATTTTTTGAATATATAAGAACTATTCCAGAAAAATATTAATGTAATTTTTACTATCCTTTTCTAATTGCTAAGGACAAATAAAAGACTTCCTGAAACTTCAATGTGTACAAGCTGTTACTTTATTTTATCACATGTTGTATATTATTATGTAGCAGAGAGTAACACAACTCTTTCAGTAACTGTGAAATTCTAAGCACTTTTATTATTACTTGTCAGGGAGATTGAAGTAGTCATGCTTCTTATTCCAGTAACTAGCACAGCTATTGTACATTCCTGTAACAGCCACATGCATAGATCTAATTATGGCTCTGCTTCATCACTGATTTATCTATCATTCCTTTTCTCACATGTAAGAGTTTAAGATGTTACTGTAGATATAAAACTTACCGTTGCACACATATTCCTGGTAGATGAGGCAGAAAACAATCACAGTTCCTGCATGGTGATCTTGATTGGTATAATAATAAACATGGTACTTTGTCATGGTAAGGTGCTTAGTGCTAAGCAACGTTATGAAAATAATTTGGAAAGAAGCACATTCAAAGTACACAATGAAGCATCTCCTGGCTCTCTTTTTCAATTTAGTATATTTTCACAATAATATGGCTATCATTATGGCTTAACACACATAGGTCAATCTTTCTTAACACTTTCTTGACAATATAGACAGCAATAAAAATTATAGTAGAAAAAATGGTTGACAGTTATGGTTTTGGGGCCTATTCACACTTCTCCATTTTCTGAAAGTCTGTTCTTTTAAAGTGATAAAGTATCAGAAATGTCCTATTGTCAGTGTCAAACAAGTTCTCCAATTCAGAGTAATCGACAGTAAATGTGTAAGGTAAAGTCTACAGGCTTGGAAAAATCAGTTAGTAAATGGATAGAAAATTGGCTAAAAGATGGAATTCAGAGAGTAGTGGTTAATGATTCATACTCTGAATAGTCTAGGGTTGTTGGTGGTGTACCCAGTGGTGTATTTTGGTTTTGTGCTGCCCTAGGCAAGACTAAAATTGGGCATCCCTCATCTAAATATGTCCCACCCCTTCCTGTTTAAGATCTACCCCTTCATCTGTAAACTCCATCCCTTCCTCTTTAGGCTCCACCCCTTCCTATTAGAGTTCCACCTCAGGTGTTGGTCACAGATTGCGGACCTAGTACAGGAGATGGTCAGAGACTGCAGAAATAGTACAGAAGATGGTCAGAGACTGCAGACCTAATACAGAAGATGGTCAGAGACTGCAGACCTATTACAGGAGATGGTCAGGGACTGCAGACAGGATACAGTTGAAGGTCAGAGACTGCAGACATAATACAGGAGATGGTCAGAGACTGCAAACCTACTACAGCAGATGGTCAGAGACTGCAGAAATAGTACACGAGACAGTCAGAGACTGCGGACATACTACAGGAGACAGTCAGAGACTGCAGACGTACTACAGTAGGCGGTCAGAGACTGTGGGCAGGATATAGAAGAAGGTCACAGACTGCGGACAGGATACAGGAGAAGGTCAGAGACTGCAGACAGGATACAAGAGATGGTCAGAAACTGCAGACATACTACAGGAGATGGTCAGAAACTGTGGACAGGCTACAGGAGATGGTCAGTGACTACAGAAATAGTACACAGGAGATGGTCAGAGACTGCAGACAGGATACAGGAGAAGATCAGAGACTGTGGACATAGTACAGGAGACAGAGACTGAGGACAGCATACAGGAGAAGGTAAGAAACAGTGGACAGGATACAGGAGCCTGCAGACAGGATACAGGAGACTGTGCACAGGATACAGGAGATGGTCAGCCGAGCCTGCCAGAACACTGCGGAGCCTGCCTGAACACTGCCGAGCCTGCCTGAACACTGCCGAGCCTGCCTGAACACTGCCAAGACCACCAGCCTGCCTGGGCTCTGCCGAGCCTGCCTTCCTTGCTCGAGTCCTACCAAGCCATGGTCCCTCCCACCTGAGCCCTGGTCCCTCCCGCCCGAGCTCTGGTTCCTCCCGCCTGAGCTCTGGTCCCTCTTGCCTGAGCCCTGGTCCTTTCCGCCTGAGCTGTGGTCCCTTCTGCCTAGGGGCAGCACCGCCCCCTGCAAAATGCCGCCCAAGGCAAACGTCTTGTTTGTCTTGTGGCAGATATGCCCCTGGGTGTACCCCAATGTTCAGTGTTGGGACCCTTACTTTTTAATATATTTATAAACGATATAGGGTCTGGGAATAAAAGCATTTCAGTCTTTGCAGATGACACCAAGCTGTGCAGTGGAATAACGTCCTTACAGAATGTCTCCAAACTCAATGCTCTGTTTAATTGGGCAACTGAGTGACAAATAAGGTTTAATGATGATAAATGTAAAATTATGTACTTGGAGGCTAAAAATATGCATTCATCATATGTACTAAGGGGGTGCAACTGGGGGAATCAATGGTGTAGAAGGTTCTGGGAGTTCTGGTAGATCACAAGCTTAATAATGGCATGCAATGACAAGCTGCGGTTTCTAAAGCAGCAAAATCGTCTCTTGTATTAAAAGAGGTATAGACTCCAGAGAGAGATATCCTATTACCCCTGTACAAATCATTAGTAAGACCTCATCTGGAATATGCAGTTCAGTTTTGGGCACCAATTCACAAAAGGAATATTGGGGAACTGGAGAAAGTACAGAGAAGGGCAACCAAACTGATAAGAGGCATGGAGGAGCTCAGCTATGAGGAAAGATTAGAGGAACTGAATTTATTCTCTATTGAGAAGAGGAGATTAAGGGGGGATATGATCAACATGTATAAATACATACGTGATCCATATAGTGAACTCGGTGTAAAGTTATTCACCCTGAGGTCATCACAGAGGACAAGGGGGCACTCTTTACATCTGGAGGAAAAGAGATTTAATCTCCAAATACGGACAGGTTTTTTTTTACAGTAAGAGCTGTGAGAATGTGGAATAGACTCCCTCAAGAGTTGGTTCTGGCCAACTCATGCTTTAAAAAAAGGCCTGGATTCTTTCTTAGATACACAGAATATACTGTAACTGGATACTAACATCTATAGGTAAAGTTGATCCAGGTAATATCTGATTGCCTTGAGGTATTTTTTCTCCTGCAGGAGCAAATTGGATCACGTTTTACTGGGATTGTTTGCCTTCCTCTGGATCAACTGGGGGTATAGGATTATCATTTTTTTTCTTTTGATGTATCTTTTTTCAGCCAGAATAACTATGTAAATATGGTCATAAATGTGCAGTCATGTGTTGTATCTCTTGCATTCAATGACTCACGTGTTGCCGTCTTCAGTCTCTTATACCTGTACTGAAATACTGATTTTACTGGTGCATTTAAAATTAACAGCAGACGATAGAAGAACAGCATACAGTGAGGTTATACATATTTAACTGAATTGATGTTTTGCTTGTTTAGCACAATTTTTCCAAGCCCATACTATTAGTCCTGCAGTGCAAATCTGGTGTACATTTAAAATAATGGCTCTCATAATATAATGGCCAATCATTCAAGATGCATTTAATAGGGAAGAATCAGGTGGCCAGCAAGAGCAGTCCATTGCCTCAGCTGTATATAGTGCTAGACTGAAATTGATTGCACCATGAGGGTGGACTTATCTTGTGTAAAAAAAATCAGTTTTCAGTTACTCATATCAAGATTTATCACTTAAAATATTGCCTCAGTTAACCCAATAGAAACAGTATCTCTCACAAGGAATAGCCAGTGTAATGTTTTCTGAATATACAGTACTTCTTCATGGTTTTTGTAACTTTCATCTCAGCAAACAATGTAATTGGTGCAAGTCATGAAAGTGTAAAGAGACTTACCACTTTAAAAAAAATCTAAATCTTCTAGCAGATGTGAAATACAGACAACCAGAGGTGCCTGCACACACCTGAAGAAGCATTTGATCCTCTCCGCTGTACCCAAATGCTGACCAATTTTCATATCTTCCTAGTGCACCTGAATCATGGCAACTTGGTAAGCTCTGACGTTAGAAGTGTCATAGCTTTGTCTGTCCAAATAGCCCAGGATTCAAGTGAGGGCATGATGAAACAGTTATGTGTTCAGAACAGCAAAATAAAAGATATATATATATATATATATATATATAGTAACGGGGTTTGCTCGGCAGCGGGTGTGTGTGACCCCCTGGATGGGTGCACAACACAAAAACACAGGCACAGCACAACAACAGTGGAGGTGAAAAACAAAAAGGTGCAGTTTATTTACAATGTTTACAGGAAAACTTCAAACCAAAAAGAAACATGAAATCAAATCCTGGCCAACTTGGCTACTTACTGTACAAAGGGCTTCCCTAGCTATCCACTAGGTACTGCCTAATGCTATACCTAGTCCCTGTTAGTTGGAGGCTAGCCACACAGGCTTTTGTCTCCCTGCACTCAGATAGTAGGTTGCTCCCCAGTCCGTTCAGGCACAGATCTGGTTCCAGGTTGGAGCAACTCCCTAAGCAGGCTGGGAAGTTTTATAGAGGCCTTAATGAGCCCACTACCTTCAGCTGGGCTCATTACCTCACTGCTGAAGGCTCAGCACTTCCCACTAGTGGAACAAATCCCCATATAGTCTAAACCTTGGACAAATGTATTGTCCATCCTGGACGCAACCAGGTGATTTCACCTGCCTACTGTCACAATATATATATATATATATATATATATCGTGGCATGATCAGGATTGGCCTATTATCCCCTGAGGAAGTCAAGTGACTCTGTGATACAACGCTTTGGGAGGAGCCAATGACATCACGCCATAAACAGGAAGTGAGCAGGCTGCCATCTTGCATGAGACATTTCCTATTCACATACATTTTTATTGTTGTGCACCAGACTATGTGCACATTTTAATTAAGAGTTTTATACTTTTGGCCTGATCTTAAGTAAAAACTAATATTGGTTATGCGGAGAGCACTACTTACATGCTTCTTTTTTGAGTGTCCCAGATACAACAATTGAAGGATTGCTGAGGACAGAGGTGGATTGATGAACATCTGGACTGAGCAGAAGGAATCTTCTGGCATAGACCATCCAGCTTAAGGCCAGGTTCACACCTGTGCATTTTGTTTATGCATTTTGCCTTTTGCAGGAACACAGTGAATGCCATTTATTATGATTCACTATGGATCACATACACATATATGTGTTTTTGTGGGCACATTTTTTAAAAAGGGTCAGGGACTTCTTTTCCCACAGTAGTTTGCTTTTTTAGTCCAATAGACTTCAATGGAACCACATAGAAAATGCAAGTGCTGCGTTTTGCAGGCATTTTTTATGTGCTTTTGATGCGTTTTGCATTTTTAATCTGCCCAGCAACAGATTAAAAATGCAAATAAAAACACGAAATGTATCAAAAATGCATCAAAAACGCATATACAAAAATGCAAAACACACCGCAAAAAGCACTGCAGAAACGGTACTGTTTGATATATAAATTCAAGTGATGTAGAGATCAGCAGACAGAGTCTCTTTAAATTAATGAAACACACCCCTCTCCCCTTCCACATCCTTCCCTCCCATTCCTTCTCCATTTCTCCTTCTTGTATCCGGGTCCTCCAAATCCTTTTCTCTCCTTAGCCTTGTTAAGCCCCCAATCCCCCCCCTTCATGTATTATGCCCTCAAGGCTAGATGGGAGTTGTGTACAATTTAATATTTATGCGGTCAAGTGTGATAATATATTCATGCGCAACTAGATGGCTAGCTCTGTTACATAGAGCTGTACGGTCTTCTCCTGTACTCCTTTTTGGCTGTTTGAGTTGCCTCCTTGCGTAGTGATGTCTGTACTCTGTGCATATGATATTCTACAGCATCCACAATGGTCCTGAGTATAATGCCTGATACCTGCCTTACCTCTCTAAATACAGTAAATGATTTGTACTGTACTGACTGTGATCTGTGCTACTATTCTGTGCATTATTTTAATAAACTTTTCTACCTCTTAAAAAAATACTGAAATACATTAAATATAATCAAGAGTTCAAATTAAGCATGCATGATAATGTAATTTAAAATGAATAACTATTGCTTTTACAAAGTAGAATATATGATAGAGGTAAAGGGATAACTGTCAAAGCAAATGGTTATAATAATGTGTGCTGAAATTTCTTTTAATGTCTGTGTATTAAAGACCCTCTATGCATTGCAATTATTCACTTGCTATGTTTACAATCCCATGTGGTTTGGCATTGTACTTTTGATGTCTCCATGATCATTTGGAAATTATTGGGACACTAAGGGGTTGATTTACTAAAATTAGAGCACTCAAAACCTGGTGCAGCTGTGCATGGTAGCCAATCAACTTCTATTCTAAGCTTGTTCAATTACCGGTGACAAAAACCCTGGAAGCTGATTGGTTTCTCTGCAGAGCTGCACCACATTTTGCACTCCCCAGTTTTAGTAAATCAAACCCTAATGCAGCCCATGGGTGGAATTCTGGACGAATTATCTTGACAAAATCAGAATTTTCTTGCGTTTTCTAATCTGATGGTGCCACCATTGATTTCGAGATTCGACCAACAAAGCCTTTGATTTCACCTCATGTTGCTACAGAAAAGAATTTTCGTGGTCCAAAAATTTTCTTTTCTTTCCAGGTCACACAGCTCATGCTCATTTCTTTTTCACTTACATTTCTCACACGATTCTCCCATCATTGATTAGAAATTCATTCATTTTTCAAAAAGTTTCCAACATGCCCGATCACTCAAATTCGATGGTCACTCGAAAATCAGCCGTTACTGTGGTCCACTAATGGTGCAAAATTTGAATGAAAATTCTTAGAAAAGATTTTCGAAAGAAAATTCTTTCGGAATTCGACCCATGTATGGCCGGTTTAAAGGTCACTTATGTAGCACTGCCAGTTTATTTAATTCATAATAAGTAAAAGTAGTGGTATTTTCTTAGCCATTACCATACTTCCTCCATTCATTGTCATTTACAGGTAACCTGGGAATCTGCAAGTACAAATAATACCTGTTGATCTTGGCAGAAATCCAGTCTCCTTGTCACTTACTGTGCACTGTGAACTAAAAGTTTTCTTAACTCCAAACTATCTTCTGTAAATTACAAATTCCCCTGCCTTCTATATAAAGAGAAAGGAGGGGAGAGAATAGGAGTTTGTAGCCAAATCTGGAAAACAGTTGAAGCTGACAACACTCTTCCTCCATAAACACAGTACACTGAGTAAGCATTGTCAACCTTGGACAAGAAGTATGTTATTGGCAGGATCACCAGGTGAAAATTAAGGACAAAGGCCCAAAAAAAAAAATAATGCATCCACTGGATCTAAGAACTGGTATGCTTTAAGGATTTGTTTTCTTTTCATTAACTGAACACTAAAGATTTTTGCTGCAAATTGAACTGATGTGTGTCAAATGTCCTTGTGTTGTTTACATTTCCTCTGCAGCGCCTGATAGAATACTTCTGCATCAAGCCTATCTTTTTCTTGTTCCTCCACTTGAGATTTACAGCTCATGGACATGATGTCTTAGTATTGTGGTTTAGGATGATCAGGTCAAACCTAGGGAACTGCAAAACAGGCTGAAAAGGCAATACAAATAGAACATTATACTTGCATATAAAGCAGCTCACAAGTCTGCAGCTGAAGTCGCAAGCACTACAAAAGCTTTTCAATCTCATTTCTCATTGCCAACCACAGGGGGGTCCCTCTATTCTTCTCCTCCCTTTTTCCCACCCAGCAGCTCATCGGACTGCAAAGAAAGAGAAACAAAGAAGAAAGGGGTTGGGAGAAGCAGAGGGATGCAGGGAGCAGCAATCAAACTCAGCCACAGCCAGTGTATAGCTGAGGCTCTTATTGCTGAGAGAATCACAGCCCAACTCTACACAGCTTACCAGACAGCTCAAGCAATCAGAAGGAAGAGACAAACAATTCCCTACATCCTCATGATCCTGGTTATGTCCAGGCTTTGCTAGAAGACCCAAGGCACTGAGAGATGTATTTTTTCAACGTATTGACAGTCTGGAGCACATGGATGCTGAACAAGACAAGAAGTTTACAGAGGCAGAAAAGGACCTACTAGATGCCTGATCCTTGTATATTACTTGGTACCTGTCCCTATTCTTCGCTGCCTATTCCTCTCTAGTCTCCAAAGACCGTACAAATGATTCAATTTTCAGAAATTAATTGGAGCTAATGCCTTAACATTTGTTCTTCTAGAGCTACTGACATGACTTGAATTGGGTTCAATATGTTTTGGAGCTGGAAGTCACAGTAGGGGTCTATAATGATTCCCCAGCACTGATAGGTCACCAGCTGAAGCATTTAAATGGATTTACTTTGGTGAAAGGGATTTCTCCATGATCGAAGCCCTGTGCTATATATTTATTTTTACTCTGGATAATATAAAGGGATATTTGTTATTTAATACATAATATGGAACAGAAAACATGTTTTTTTTTAGTTTAATTTAATTCCAGAATGAGGATTTACTTACAAGAGAAGATTGTGGGACACTTGTGATGCTGGCTTGTTTAATATGTTATAAGGATTTTTTCACGTTTTGCTTTTACCACATTTTCCAGGATTTAACATTGATTTATTCAGCATTTATGAAGTTTTTATTCTTTGCTTGAATTGTAATTATCTTTCTACACTCCAGGATGAAGTCTGTTTTCTATAGTCGCTTTTTCATTCTTCTTCCTTGGGTACTGATTGTTGTGATTATTATTGATATTGATACCAGGAAACCATCTAACTCCAGCAGAGTACCCACCGCTCGCTACTACTCTCCATACTGGAGACGCAGGATTGGTCGTGCAGCTTTGATGCGACCCCAGCCAAGTGACACCAGTATGGGTACATGGACAACTAATCAGGAGCACCTAACCAATCTTGAGTCACATAGGGGGAAGAATGACTCTCTTCCCATTATATATGCCATCACCCCCACATACAGCCGACCTGTTCAAAAAGCAGAACTAACTCGACTGGCTAACACATTCCGTCAGGTGCCTCGGTTACACTGGATAGTAGTAGAGGACTCTGCTCAGCCTACAGATTTGGTAAGGCGATTCTTGGCCAGGGCAGGTGTAAAGGCCACCCACCTGCATGTTCCCACAGCACGGAGGTACAAAAAATCTGGTTTACCTCGAGCTACCGAACAGAGGAATGCAGGATTAGCTTGGCTACGACAACAGTACCAACCCCAGAGGTCAGCAGTCCAGTCACCTGCACAACAGGAGTACCCCGCAGGTGTTGTCTTCTTTGCAGATGATGACAACACTTATAGTCTGGAGCTTTTTCAGGAGGTAATTTTATAAAAATGTACCACACAGCATAATAATGATGGTTTGCATTGCTGGAGACTTGCCAGAGCATCTGTTTTATTTCCATGCCTATATATATCAGCAGATACACACATATAAATATGTATTTCATTTTTGATTCTGAGTGCAAATGTACCTGCTTTATATTTCAGCACTAAGGCTGGTAGACAGCTCCCAGCACACTTTTGCTGCTGTGGATGCCTCTAGCAAACTTTCTGATGCCACAAACACCCTGCTGTTTTGCTCTCCAAAGAACTCTCCACAGCTGCTTTCATGATAGTGTGTGTGGAATTTGAAAGCAGCAATGAACGCATACAACTGCAGCGTTCACACTACAGTAGTAAGAAGAGAAGGGGGAAAAGAGTACCTCTCCCAGTTTCATTGGCTAGCCTGCATGCGTTTTTCTCCCTTTAACGTGACTGGACATAGCATAGAATACAGTGAAATTGTAGTAGCTTTTACATTTCTGAGTGCGATATTTGTGCCTGTGTTCATAACCAGTAATTCAACATAAGACCAGTAAGGCTGGCCATACAATATACAATTAACCTGTACACTTTTCCTTTAGATTTACCAAAACCATATAATATGAGATCAAAACTAAACACTTTCAATTTGTTTGCAATCAGGCAGGCCCTTGCAGTACATAGTTGAAGGTAAATCTAAAGGAAATTGTATAATGTATAGCCAGCTTAAATGTTATAGCTCATTACTTAGCTAAAAAGTGTTACATTGCATTTTAGTGTTCTTATCTTAGCAGTGATAAGGATATATGTTGATAGTATTGGAAGTATCTGCTGCAATGATTGCGATTTCCTAGTGTCCTAAATATTGATATTGATATTACCAACATGTAGCAAAACGTGGTCTGCAGAGGGAGTCACAACACCAGTTTCTACAAAGCAACATTGTCAATTTTCTGTTTATATGGTCACTAGCAAATGAACTACAATTCCAAAGTGAAAAGTTACATAATACAAATATATATAATTATTATTATATTATTGCAGGTCTTATCCTAATGTACAGTATCCTCCAATGTTAACTGAGTGTGTTCAGGGAGAGAGTACTATGTGCAAAATGCAGTAGCACACTCCAGTCATGCCTCTTTCAATTATCTAATCAGATCAAATTTCTGATTAGATTTTTTCAATTCTAAGATCCTGTGGATTATTATATTTTTCAAACAATTGTTGTATATTACACTGCCATATAAAAGAAAAACTTTCATCACCAACAGTGTCCAAAAATACCGGTCTAATCAAAGGAGCCTATGGTAGCTTCAGATTTGTTATAGAGCTGCTCAGGAGCCCCTATGTCAAGGTTCTTTTCTATATTACCTTAATGAAATCGGTGCTATGTCCCAATGCCTCCTGCATCTCATTACTGCTCAGTAAGTTGGCCCATCATATTAGTAAGTAAAAACAAAGGTGTAGGATGGGTCAGTTTTAAGCAAAGACTTTAATCAGGGAGTCAAGATTTCCCCAACATAGTGTCCATGTTTAGAAGCACCTAGGGGGCTCTAGAACACATATGAAGCTACCAATAGGCAAGTCAAAAAGGGATGGAGCTTACAGGTTGATTTTAAGAAAACCTAGTGTTTCTAGATTGTGACATGGACCCAATTCTCTCAAAAAGGGTCAGGCTATATAAAAGTAGTATTTTGTGGCTTTCGGCTCATCCTTTTGCATTCTCTATTAATATAAAATAAATAACAAATCAAACATGGGGAGTGGTACCCGCTATTAATGGTTATGACATGTAGAGAACTCATTAGCACTGTTCCCACCACTAGAGTACCTGAGGGATGTTCAGTGGTTTAATTCTCCAACATCTACCCAAAACTGGATTACACATTTTAAATGTAATGATACTTAAGGAATCCCTTAACCCCTTCCCACCGCTGCCACCTCCTGACCCTTTAAGAGCTTTTAAAAGCCGGAAGGCAAGGCGGGCATTTGGGTCAAGTGACTGCTGTGATTGGCTGATAGCTAGTATGCTTCAGGAGCTTTGCAGTCCTCGCTGGTGTCTGGTGCTCAGGGAGCATGCTCTCAGTACAGAAAGTTGTTTATTTTGAGATGCATACATGCGGCCTCTCTGCGTTGAAGCCCACGGGCCGATAGGCTGCATATATGCGCCACATTGGTGGGAGGAGACTAAAGCCACACTGTTTATACAATAGCCTAGTCACAGATTTTGTTAATAGGTTCCTATTAAAGTATGTCTTGTGTACTGCTAATGGAAACTGTCCTCACTGCAGGTGGCATAAAATAACAGGTATTTGAATTTCAATCTATGGACTTGGACTATGGGCGTTCTATGCTAACAGATGATTGTGTAGCCATCTATTAACTCTTATGGAATGGGTAGCATCCTGATTTGATGTTCTCTATGAACCAAGAAAATTGGAAGCTTTAAGTACAATAAAAATTCAAGATAAAGAGCTGACATTAAGGAAACACAAATGACTAACTAAAATATGGGAAGCTCTTTATTAATTAATAAAATAGCATTTATATTTAGATGTTAGCACTTAAATAAACATTTAAGTGATATAAAAGGAAATGAAAAAAAAAAATTAAAAAAAAATTCCAAACATGCCACTTAAGTGCTCTGAGCAGTGGTCTTGAACAGAGCAGCCCCAATCCTCCTCTCCTTGGGCCCCCCACTGGCACTCCTGGCCCCTTCCTCCTGCCAAGTTCCCCCAGAGCAACCAGCTTGCTATGGGGGCTCCCAATCAGGCTTGCTCTTGAGCCACTGCTCTGCTTGTCCATTCACACACAGATTCGGTTTGCACCCCCCCCCCTTGCTCTATCCTCATTGGTTCACTGGCTGGGATTGACAGTAGCAGGAGCCAATGAGGAGGGAGGTTCTTGGGGGGGAATTTTTGTATGTTCCTGACCATCTTTCTTTCCATGTTCCAACATCTCCTGTTGTACTCTCTATTATTAAAAAAATGCAGGGTGAGTGGTACCTCAAGCATAGTGATAAAGCCAATAGAATCACCAGAGGACAGAGATAGGAAGGAAGAGCATTACAAGTGTGACAACAGGAAAGCTGTTATTTTTTCCACAAACCTTACTAGCTTCACAATAGGCACCTACAAGGAGAGATTGCAGGTGTCAAATACCTTCTTTTTTGAGGAAGCCTATTATTAAAGTAAACCTATGGTTCTGTCAAAGTTAGAAAACTGCCACCTGACTGTAATAGCAGCCATTCTCAGCTTTTAAAGACTCAGAAAGGTGACTGTTGCAACTGGCTTTCCAACTTTAACAGAATTTATTTACTAAAAAATAGTAATAGTTTACTAAAAAGAGGATATCTGTTATCTGCAATTAACATGTTTAAGTGATATACAGCAGCTAAATATGGTTTCTGACATAACTAACAAATGCACTTTAAATGTGTCTCCTTATTTATTCCATCTCTATGAGACACCATTGGACCGAGTTACAGGTAAGTGGCTGTATTTTAAAAGTCAGCAGCTACAGTTTTTGTAGCTGCTGACTTTTTTTTTTTTTCAGCTGGAACTCTGCTTTAAGGGGCAGCTGCTTTGGGCCCTGCCACAGAAGAGCCGAGCGGCTGGCCCGGAGTTATAACATGGCAGCGGCGACAGAGGGAATACCGGGCTGGCCACTCCATATTCGTTCCATGTTGTATTGTTATGTTTTAACTGTTTATGTGCAGCATTAAATCACACCAGGGGTCTCATAACTGTGGCCCAAGGGCTGGATATGGCCCTTTGCTACCCTTTATCTGGGCCTTGGGGTATTATTCCTCCCAATGAGACCAACAATGGAGCAGCACTTCTTCCATTGAAACCAATGATGGTGTACTAATTTTCCCACTAATACCAATGATGGGGCACTACTCCTCCTACTGGCCATCAACCCTGAGGCCATGTTTATTCTCACTGATGCCGGGAACAGGACATTTTCTAAATAAATTGTAACAATGGTGCCGCACCCTTTAAGTAAATATGTGTGTCTATATATACAAAATGTGCATGATGAACTGCTTATAGCAATTCATTAGATTGCTTAGTAGTGACAAAAATTCTCACAGAAAATTTTAAATCAATCAATATAAACCAACATTAGTATCAAAGTAGTGATTGAAAATTATGCATATACATATTCAATTCATAAGTGAGTTCAATCAGATGTGAATCCCATCATACTTGCGGTTTGCTCAATATACTGTAAACGGCTGCTCATACAATCTACATAGTTTGTGCTAAAGGAATATTAAACCAAAAAATGTGGGTTTACTCTGGTATGTTCCTTTGTAGAAAGCAGACTGGATAGTTCACCTCCTTACTCCTGGTAATGCTGTTATGAGTGAATCCAGGATATGGATCCTCCCTTCAATGGGCTCTATATGTTCTTTCCCTATTGCTTCAGGTATATACCGGGGAGAGAAGAAAGAGGGATAGTGCCTTATCTTTGATATATGGATAAATATTTATTTGTGCCAATGTTGCACTCACAAGATTTAAAATCATTCAGCGCTTTTTTAAACAAAATGTGTCCAGCCTGAATGATGTGCAGACACACACTGCCTGTACTCGCCGTTCCGAGGAATCGGGTGCTTGGTGACGTCAGTGCCCCTCCCCAACGCGTTGCGCCACAGGGTCACGTGGCTTCGTCCGGGGGATGTGATTGTGACATTTTCTATCCTTACTGGCCCTAATCCGGCTCTCCTAAAGTCTGAAGGACCGTATACTGGCCCTTTGCTTTAAAAGTTTGGATACCCTTGAATCATACAATTGAAGGAATTCACATGAAGTGGGAGAGCTCACTTTATATACAGCACACATATGCCATAGTCCTTTACCTAAACAATATGCTTGAACTACTGTGCCATAAGCATTGTTTCGCTATGATTCATTTTTTGGACTAAAATTTAACTTCCGGAGATTTGGATGTATCTGAATTTCCAAATGGACATAGAAACAAATGACAACAAATGCGAAAAAAAGTTACAATGAAAAG